ATTTACAGTTTCCTATTGTCAAACGAAATAAGAATGTAATCTTGTTTTAAGAATATTATTCTCAATATGAGAGGAATGTGCTGAAATATTTATAAATTATTTTATTTTGCTAATAATAAAAGAAAAATAATATATTAGTTAAAGAGTAATACTCTCGCTATAAGTATAAAATTGTTTGAGAGGAAAATTCCTCTTATTTTGAGAAGATTATTTTTTATATTTTACAATATAGTATTAAAACGAATTATTCTCAATTTTAGAGGAAAAAACTTGGTATTGAATTATGACACCTCGTATGACACTTAATCAAAGTACAAATGTATGTAGTATAATACAGTCATACAAAGTAAAAATATATTCTTAATTTGAGAAGATTTTAAATACTCTACAATATAGTATCAATACGAATTATTCTCAATTTGAGATGACGACACTTTAGAGTAAATTATGCCTCTTTATCAAAGTACAAATATTTACAGTTTCCTATTGTCAAACGAAATAAGAATGTAATCTTGTTTTAAGAATATTATTCTCAATATGAGAGGAATGTGCTAAAATATTTATATTATTTTATTTTGCTAATAACAAAAGAAAAATAATATTTTAGTTAAAGACTAATACTCTCGCTATAAGTATAAAATTATTTGAGAGGAAAATTCCTCTCAAATGAAGAATATTTTTTTTTTGTAATCATTAATATGTATATATGTATATATGTAAAAGCATAAAAGTATAAAAAATCGATTATAAACGAAAAAAATATGTCGAAAAATATTGTGAAAAAAAGAGAAATAAAATGAAGATGGAAGTTAAATTGAATTCCTTTTTTTATTAAGTTCTTTTATACGAACTTTTAAAGCAATTATAAAAATGGCTAAAGGCAATGGATGGTTTTGGGGGCAAAGGTGCCTCTCGTCAAATGAAAGTCCCGTTGCGCTACCAAAGGGGCCCTTAATCAGTTGATTAACCTCGTATATAAACTTTTATATATCATGTAATAGAGTAATAATTAGAATTGTGTCAAGTAATAATTTTTATTTTTTTTAAACCATTAATTTTTTTATGTTAATAATTTTATTAATCAAATTATTATTATTATTATTATTATTAAATAAATTAATAATTTTATTTATTTTTTATACTTTAATTTGAATTTTTAATCAAATTTCTAATATTATTTTTAAAAAAATTTTTTTTATAGCTGAATTAAATTTTCATTATCAAATAACAAGAAACAGGAAATATTAATTATTTCTCTCTAAGAAAATATATTGACATATAAGAAAGTTTAAAATTTTCTTTTTCAATTGATTATTAACATATGGCTAATGTAATAACGATTATAATATTTTTCTACACGTTATACAGGTGAAGACATATAATGCGTTTAAATACCTTAAAGAGTTTCTAATCAAAATTTTATTGTTTAATTTTTTTTTAAACTTATAGATATATAATATTTACATTTGGCATGTCGTTAAAAATTTAATTAAAAATTTCATTTTACTTGATGAGTGTGTAATAAAATAAATCAATTATTATAAAAATGAAAAAAATTAAATTTTTTTTAATTATTATTTATCAATTTGATGAAATTGACAATATTTTAAATGATAAGGTATTTATTTTGCGCAATTAAATTGTTAACAAAATATATTTTTAGGTTAAATTTTTTTTTATAAATTTAATATTTTTGTTTTTAAATTAAGAATTTTGATTTTTTTTTAATTATCCTGAGTGGTAATAATTATATTTAAATTTTAAAAGAATGACGAATTTTTGCAATTATTATTTTTATTCTCAATATGAAAGGAATATTTTGCTTTCGAATTTATTTTATATTTTTATAGTAAATTAAATAAAAAATTTTTTTATGAAACAGAGTTTATTTTTATTAAAAATGATGATTAATATAAAATGATTCTCTATAAATCCTCTATAAATGAGAGGATTTTATTGAAAATAAAATTTTAGAACCTTAAAATTTTCCAAATGTCTCATAATTCTGCACATACTTTGATTTTTTAATTAAGTAAATTTGTAAAAATTGTAAAAAGTAATTTTGTAAATTTAAAAAAATTCTGGTATAAATCATCTAAATTTGAGAGGAATATTTTAGTGTATAAAATTTTAAGTAGCTACATGTAATTTTTTTATTTTTAAATATTGTACTCGGTTTTTAGTGTAATATATTTTTTTTACTACCAATACATTGGAAATAAAATATTCTTCATTTAAGAGGACGATTGAAATTGTTTTTCAATTTTATACTAAAAACGAAATTATTACTCTTCAAGTAATACTTTTTTTCTATTATTTTATGAGGACAGCCTTGATTAGACGAGTCTAAAACTTTCTGCTCACATTGAGTATATAATCATCTTAGAATAAGAATAATATTCTCTAATAAAGTATATTCTTTTAATTCTTAATAGTAATATGCTAAAGATTATCATAATGTAAAAAAACGTTAATTTTTGTGACACTCGTATGTAAATTGTTCATTAAGACGACAATCCTCTTTAATTGAGAGAAAATCTTTTTAATAGCTTATATTGTAGAGGAAAATTTGCAACAAAATAAGAGGAATACTCTCAAAGAATATTTCTTCCAATGTATTGGCAAAAGTTGAATAAAAACTAAATAAATAATGCTTTAAGATGATAATCCTCTTCAATTAAGAGGAAATCTGATACTATATATTGTAGAAGAAAAGTTGCGTCAAAATAAATCGAAATACTCTCAAAAGAAGAATATTTTTTTCAATGTATAAGCAAAAGTTGAATCAAAACTAAACAAATAATGCTTTAAAACAATAATCCTCTTTAATTAAGAGGAAATCTGATACCATATTGTAGAAGAGAAGTTGCGTCAAAATAAAAGGAATATACTCTAAAACTAAGAATATTTTTTTTCACTATATTATTAGAAGCAAAAATTGATTCAAATTTAAAAAAAAAAACATATCCTCTAATAATGAGAATAATTTTTTTCCCTTGATATTATAATTGCATTTTATTCAATTAATTATAATTAATAAAATTTAAAATTTATAATTTAAAAGAATAATCGATTTTTATGCAAACTAGAGTATTTAGTAATCAACTAAATATATAGATAACTGGTAATTTTTGTTGAGATTTAAAATTTTTTTCACTAAATTATCATTGAACGATTTGAAATTAATCTCGTTTATTTAAATGTTTTATATAGGCACACGACTGTCTTGCGCGTGTAATGACTTTAAATAACAAACATAAAAGTTATGATTTCTACGTCAGTCGACTGAAGCCGGGGTCAAACGCCCTATTATCGAACGAAGCGTAATTATTTCAGTTAAATTAATGTGTAATTGTACATATATATATGTATATACTATTGCATGTCATTTACAATGAGTCCTTTATTGTTGCCTATATAAGCACGCGCGTGATTGTATTTCAAAAAAAAAATAAATAAAAATAACGAGAACTTCAATTCTATATAAGGTCATGTTCCTGCACTAGAATCAAAATTGATAGACAATAATTTTAAATTAATTTCAAATTTATTTCAATTTTCCATTTTTTATATTCAAATTTATTTCAATTATCAATTTTTATATTCAAAAATTTATTTCAATTATTAATTTTATATTCATAAACAGAAATTCAAAATAGAGGAAATAATATGTTGAACAAATTTTGAAAAATTTAAACAAAAAGTTTAAAATTGTTTTGCTAGGCCTTTTTTTAAAATCACTAATCCTGATTTTGAGGTTAGATTCATAATCAGCGACCTTGAAAACCCCCCATGTGACGAATTTTAATAAATTCCGATGAATTTTTAAAAAAATGACTGCCATATTGGATCCGCCATTTTGAATTTCGAAAATCTGATACCTGATTCGGAGTCAGTGACCCCAAAAACCCCCGAGTAACGAATTTTAATAAATTCCGATGAATTTTTAAAAAAATGACTGCCATATTGGATCCGCCATTTTGAATTTCGAAAATCTGATACCTGATTCGGAGTCAGTGACCCCAAAAACCCCCGAGTAACGAATTTTAATAAATTCCGATGAATTTTTAAAAAAATGACTGCCATATTGGATCCGCCATTTTGAATTTCGAAAATCTGATACCTGATTCGGAGTCAGTGACCCCAAAAACCACCGAGTAAAGAATTTTAAAAAATTCCAATGAATTTTTAAAAAAAGACTGCCATTTTGGATCCGCCATTTTGAATTTTGTAAATCTGAAACGTAATTCGTTATCAGCGACCCCAAAAAACCCCTACGTAATAAGACTGAATCGAATTCAACGAATGAAATTTTTTTCGTCCTCCATTTTGGATCCGCCATTTTAAATTTTGAAAATCTAATACCAAATTCGTAATCAGCGACCTTAAAAAATCCCTGATTAATAAGACTAAATTGAATTGAATGAACTTTAATTTTTTTTGTTCGCCATTTTGGATACGCCATTTTGAATTTTGAAGATCTGATACCTAATTCTGAATTGTCGACCCCAAAAACCTCCGAGTATTGATATTTGATAAATTAATTGATAAACAATAGTTAAAATGAATTTGAATTTTTTTTCTATTATCAATTTAATTTTAATTTTTGACATTAAAAATTTTCTGACAAAAAATTTTTTTTTTTTAACAATTTATTATAAACAAATAAGTAAATTATAAATTCTACAGAATAGTAGATATGGAAAAAACAACTATTGTGATCCTAGTACGAGCCTTAAAAATAATTGTTAACGTTAAAAATTAAAAAAAAAAAAAATTTTTTTTATTTTTCAAAATTTTCATTTGTTATAAACAAATGAAGAAATTGTGAATTTAAAAAAAAAAAACTATTAGCGCTATTCGATTCAACGTGAAAAATTACTACGGGAACATGTATTATTTTAATTTTTTATTTTTTTTATAAATTTACTTTGTTGTATAAAATCTTCTAAATTGTTTATAACATTTTTACAACAATGTTACTTTATTAAGGGGGGAACACCAGTTGTAACTTTCGAAAAATCAATTTTTTTTTTGTGCATTTTCTTAAAGTACACATATTTAGAAATGTGTCTGTAAATTTCAAAGTTGATCCGGTGAAAAATAAATGAGATATACAGAACACTGCATCGGCGCGTCCCGTGGCTTCATACAAGGTGGCCAGCCATAACTGACCCTAACGACAGATGGCCTTTTCCTATGATTTAGAAACGGCAACCACTGCGGAAGAGTTATTATATGGTCCAAGAATCGATGACTCTTTGTAACTTGGAAACAAAATTTCTTCTGAACAAAAAAAAGTAAGTTGAAACTTTGAATGCGTTTTTATCAAAATGACATTTTCCAAGTCGGTGACCACGATTACTCGAATACCATTAAACCGATTTATTTAAAATTTAGTGTGCTTCATTTACACATATAAGTCTAGTTCGTGATCGAAGGATTTTTTTTTTTATGCAAAACTTTTTTTTATATAGCTGAAAATCGACCGTATTTTTTTAACGAAAATCATACTTTTGACTTTGACAGGTCGCCATTTTGTCAAATTTTTTTTTTTTTTAAATCCTTCGATCACGAACTAGATAATCTTATAATAAATGTAAATCAATTTCATTTTTGTATTTCAGACGAAGTATACTTGCAGAATGCTGGTCACCGCAATTCGCCTTTTTTCTTAAGACGCCACTTCAATGGCTCATATCTCCAAAAGTTTTTGTTAAAAAAATTTTTTTTTTCTTTTAAATTACAGCTTTTTACATGTACTTTTAACTAATAAATAGTATTCTTTAAAAAGATTCATTGTTCTTTTGGAAAATATTCTTGAAAAAAGCATTATTTTTTGAGTTACAACTGGTGTTCCCCCCTTAATAAATTCATGTAATACATGTTTCCGTAGTATATTTTCACGTAGAATCGAATGCCTAAATTAGTTTTTTAAAACTAAAAAAAAAATTAAAAAAATTTTTTTTTTTTACTTCGTTATTTATAAATTAGAAATTTTCCAAATAAAACTACAAAAATTTTAAAAATGCAAGTTTTATTTGGAGCAAATAAAATTTTTTATTTCAACCAAATAAATATTTATTTACCGTTTATATAAGAGAAATAAACATTTTTCTCATGTTTGTATACGCGTAAAGAAAATATAATTAATTTATACGTGTATTTGAGTTAAACCAATATGTTTAGTATTTCGAAAATGACAAAATTCTATTTTTAAGAAAAATAATCTATCTATATATATATATATGTAATCGTTAAATCCTCATGCTAAAAGTCATTAAAGTTAATTGTATTGACTTCTGCGCTAGTCACAAATTAACCTTTATCTTACTCGTAAAAGTCTCTTTTTAAAATAATATATACTAAACTATTGACAATTAGTCGTTATAAATTATTATTATAGAAGACTGCATCTTTATGTAATGAAAAGTTATTAATAGTTATTAATAATAATTAGTAATAATTATTAATAACTATTTTTAATTATAATTAAATTTTATTAATTTTTATTAATTAATAATTAACAATAGTTATAATAATAATTAATAATAGTTAATAATACTTATTAATTATTAATTAATAATTAATAAAATATTATCTTAGGTATTGAATAAGCAAAATGAGAAAACTTTCATATAAAACAGAAAGACATTAAGCAAACTTTGTGCCTCAATAAACAGAAAATCTTGTTATTTCCTTTTATCTGAAATGCTAAAAGAGATTTTTTTTTCTCAATGTAATGTAAAAGAAGAACTTGCTGATAATGAAAAATTATGTCAAAAGAGTCGTCTTTTGTCAAGGAGAAATCCTCTTTTTATGATACATAAGCCATATATTTTTTGTCTTAAAAAAAAAAAAAAATCTAAAGGAAATTGTCTTCTAAAGTTTATTATATTTTTCCGAAGCTTTTACGTAAGCGAATTTATAAAACCGACAATAAAAAAAAAAGCTAAAAAATACATTAACAAATATATATATTTTTCTTTGAAATTTTTCGATGATGTCAATTTTTAATTTTCTTATATGGCAAATAGTAAAAAAAAAAATATATTTTTTTTTGAATTTATGATATCGTCAAAGATTAACGTAAATGTGTGAAGTATTTTTTGTTTTATCAATTAAATCTTGAATTTTTTTTTTTTTTTTATCATTTTGCACTATCTCTCTGATGTGTCTATAAGTGTTTAACGAGTGAATCTTAGAAAAGTAAAGAGATCATTGTGTAATTTTCATATAAGTATATTTAGCGAATAGTCATTTATTTTCTTAAACATTTATGAATGAGAAAAAAAATTTTTGATATTGAATTTTAGGTGAAACGGGGGTGTTTTGGTCAAATTAACCCTTAGATTTTAGGGTTCTTTTTTCAAAAAGAGTGTCAAAAAAACATGCAAAAAACATTTTCCAAATGTTGAGCAATTGGCTTTAAAATCGTTGCTCGGGGGTTTTCGGGGTCGCTGATTATGAATCCGACGTTAGTTTTTCAAAATTCAAAATGGAGGATCCAATATGGCGGATGACTTTTTGTAAATCTAATATTATTGGCCTGAAAATTGTTACTCGGAGGTTTTAGGGGTCGCTGATTACGAATCATCCAAGTAACAATTGTTACTCGGGGATTTTCGTGGTCGCTGATTACGAATCCGACGTTAGTTTTTTAAAATTCAAAATGGCGGATCCAATATGGCGGATGACTTTTTGAAAATCTAATATTATTGGCCTGAAAATTGTTATTTGGATGATTCGTAATCAGCGACCCCTAAAAACTCCGAGTAACAATTTTCAGGCCAATAATATTAGATTTTCAAAAAGTCATCCGCCATATTGGATCCGCCATTTTGAATTTTAAAAAACTAACGTCGGATTCGTAATCAGCGACCACGAAAATCCCCGAGTAACAATTTTCAGGACAATAATATTAAATTTTCAAAAAGTCATGCGCCATATTGGATCCGCCATTTTGAATTTTAAAAAACTAACGTCGGATTCGTAATCAGCGACCCCGAAAACCCCCGAGCAACGATTTTCAAGCCAATTGCTCAACATTTGGAAAATGTTTTTTGCATGTTTTTTTGACACTCTTTTTGAAAAAAAAAACCCTAAAATCTAAGGGTTAATTTGACCAAAACACCCCCGTTTCACCTAAAATCAATGAAAAATTACTTTTTCTATTATAAGAAAAAGTTTTCAACCATTTAAATTAAAATCCCAAGGGGGCGAAATATATAGGCCTTAGGGGGCCTCCTCCTTTTTGAAATTATTTTGTCTTTATCGTCATCAATTAAGAAGATACAACAAAAATCCTTTAAACAGTTGCAAAGATCTGTTTTTCAGCTTAAAAATTAAAAAAAAAATTTGAAATTTGGCAAAAAATAAGGAAGTTACAAGGATTTTTTCACAAAAAATGGTTTTTCGTCTCTAAAATCAAATTTTTAGGGTGTATAAGCAATTAAATATACACTATTCTTTTCTGTTTTTTATGCTCTACAAACTCTACTATAGGTCCAATTAGAAGTGTTTGTAGTCATATTTTTTTGTAACACAGTATATATATATAAATAATAATTACTTATAGAAAATACTGTAATAACTATTTTTTGTGGTTAAAAAAAAATTACTTCTCGAAGCTGATTTAAAATTTTTGAAAAATTAAATAGCAAAATTTTTAGATTAGGAAGCTTGAGAATTGACAAGCAGGAGCGCCAATCACGTAATGCAAAACTATATAGATATAGTGGCGATAAATGTAAAAATTCTTAAAAAATTATATAATTAAATTTTAAGAAATATTTATACGTTCCTCATTTTTTTAATATATAATAAAATTGCTAAAAATATTAAAAGTCTATTAATTTTATTATAATTTGTCTCTAAATATCTACTGCTTTTATTTCAAAAATTTTTGAATTTCCCGCCATTATCTCTAGTTTTGCTTTACATGGTTGGCTCTAATAATTGTCAATTCTCAAGCTTCCTAACCTAAAAATTCCTCTGTATATGTGACGCGATCTGAAGAAAGGGACCTTAGAAGCAAATGAATTATAGGTTATGTTTACGACAGTTTTACTTAAACTAAAAGTTTATTTTTTATTTTTTTTTTTAAATTGAAATCAGTTTTTATTGAATATTTTAGATGTAATAAAGACCTAAATATCATTAGTTTGCATTACGAGTTGAACGTTTTTGGGTATTTTTACTTTAAAATATAAAAACGTAACCTATAATTTTTTGCTTCTAAGGTCCCTTTCTTCAGATCGCGTCACATATTTATTTGGGACGCATGATTATGTTCTAAAAATCATTAGTCATAATTTACATTTTATCGAATTTTATTTGTCCTACTTAGTTTTGAGCCGAATTTTAATTTGTTCGAAATAGCATTTGGCATAATTTTCATCAATCCGATTTTCTATATGACAGAATTTTTATATAACGGAAAATTCAACTCACAGAATTTTTATTTCTTCGAATTTTTATTTGATATAATTTCCATATAATCGATTTTTCATACTACAGAATTTTTACTTAACCGACAAATCATTTAATAGAATTTCTAATTGATAGAATTTTCATTTGTCCGAATTTTCAAATGGCCGAACAAACAATCGACAGAAAGATTTCAGCGCGATTTTTAAAATCAACCAATCACAATTTTATGAATAATTTTTGATTGGTTGATTTTAAAAATCGCGCTGAAATCTTTCTGTCGATTGTTTGTTCGGCCATTTGAAAATTCGGACATTTGAAAATTCTATCAATTAGAAATTCTATTAAATGATTTGTCAGTTAAGTAAAAATTCTGTAGTATGAAAAATCGATTATATGAAAATTATATCAAATAATAATTCGAACAAATGAAAATTCATCTAAATGAAAATTCTATTCAATGAAATTCTAACCAATAAAAATTCTTTAAAATGACGATTATGTTAAATGAAAATTCGAGTAATTAAAAATTATGACAAATAAAAATTCGAAGAAATAAAAATTCTGTGAGTTGAATTTTCCGTTATATAAAAATTCTGCCATATAGAAAATCGGATTGATGAAAATTATGCCAAATGCTATTTCGAACAAATTAAAATTCGGCTCAAAACTAATTAGGACAAATAAAATTCGATAAAATGTAAATTAAGACTAATGATTGTTAGAACATAATCATGCGTCCCATTTATTTTACTAAATTTTTTGTTAATTAAAAGAAAACACATATAATTTACAAAGTCAGTGTTATTAGCACTATATGACTGTTCGTATTTTTCTTGAAAAAAAAAGTTGAATTTTATTCGATATATAGTGAAGCACACATTATATACAATTCATTTCATTGACAATGAGTCTTTTGTTTGTTCAATCAAAGACCTTTCCCACTTTGGTTTGCAATATATATATATATATATATTTAAAGTGTGCAGTAATAGAAAATTTTGCAGGCGTCAAATGAAAGCTTGTCTTTACTATTGAAAATATTCGTCTGGCAATATAACGATTATGCAACGCAACGATGCATAAATATACACGTGTTATAAACTCGGTTTAAAATTGAGGTGCAGCGGAGACAAGAGGAAAAGTGTACAATGCGGTAAATTTACATATTTGCACATGAACGCGGTCTACAATCGCTATATATATATATGGGGTAAAATTTCTCAAATGATCCGCAATACGTAAAAAACAATGGATTCTTTGAAAATTCTTAACTATTATATACAATAAGATTAAAAAAAATAGATAAAAACATTTTTAACCTATATGTTTTCATAAGATTTATTTCCTGCTCTTTTGAATGA